ACGGTACCCCACCCCCCAGCCACCCCCCCTGCTCCCTGACTGCCCCGACCCCTATCCACACCCCCACCTCTACAGGCCTCCTGGGACTCCCACGACTATCCAACTCACTTCCCCGTCCCCTGACCTCTCCCCCCGAACCTCCGCCCCATTCAACCACCCCCTGCTCCCTGTCCCCTGACTGCCTCCCGGAACTCCTTGCCCCCTTACCATGCCAGAGCCAGCCACGCTGCTGCTCTGCCCAGCAGGAGCGGTGGGCCAGAGCACTGGCGGCGCGGCAAGATGAGGTGGCAGGGGTGGGGGGACAGCAGGAAAGGGGCCAAGCAGGATGGCCCCTTAGGCAGGATGTTACCCACGGGCTGTAGTTTGCCCACCTCTGATTTAAACCCATATTTTTAACTGATTATCATAAGATTGAATATTTTTGGTTTAGTCTGACAGCTTGAGATTTCTCTTAGAACTAGTTCAGTATTAACTTAAACTAAAGATTTAATTTTTAAGTCTTGGACGTGCATGCTGCATGTAGATACCAACGGGCAGTAAAAATGTATAACATTGGTTTGCATACGTATGACCAGTAAATAAAATTGCACGTCATATTCAATGATCTGTACTACTGTAATGAAACAACTTTTTTCTTTATGGTGCTGTTTTATTCTAGTTCTAATTTTTCTTGCCTCCAAGCTACATTCCTTTTAAAACCTTTTCTATAAAATTCTGTCTGAATATTGCAATGGTTGATTTACAAGGAGTTCTACCTTTCCTATTAGTTAACGTATATGTACTTAAAATATGTATAAAACTACTTTATAACTCTTGTCATTTGTATAGATGAACTGAAGCACATCATAGGTGCTGAGACAACACGGAAAGGCATTCTTCGGGTCTTTGAAATGTTTCAGCACACTCAACTAAATAAGAGAATGGTATACGTCTTTCTGGAGGGCTTCCTGGAAACCTTATTTCCACAATATAAATTCCATGAGCTCTTCAGCAAACTGCATTCACGGTCAGAGCAAATGCAGAGATACAAGCAGAGACTACAATCTACTCAAGCGCCTTCTTTACAGAAAAGGTGACACTCCTAACTATTAAGCTGGTGTGTGTTTGTCCAGGACTAGTGGCAAAGGCATATTCTCTGGGGCTTAAAACTCACATGCTGTTGTTTTTGCACCAGTCTTTTAGTGTCACATATTAGATTATTAAAACATCCATACGACCTGTGGATCTTTTCATCCTCACTTATATTGCAACCACTACCACAAAGGGATTTGTGTCTCAAATGATTTGGTGCATCTTCATGCAACATTGAGAAGAATATTGGCCAGTTATGTAAGGAGTATCAGTTTCTTCCATTCCTGACTGAATCGGTGATTGCAAGCAATGAAAAGTGCCAGGCTATATTTGCTGAGGGCTAAGCAAAGCACAACTACAGTGACAATGAGGGATTTGGCTAGTTTACCACTGGGAGATTGTGCAATGTGTGAGAATCAGGGGAGGTTTGTTTTGCATTATGATTGTTGAGGGATTTTGGGTCTTGATCAACATTCATGTAAAGGCTCAGCTAACAGGAATAGAAGTTTTTGGAACAGCTGGTTCTGGAAAAAAAAAAAGTTACAGTATGTCCCAAAAAGTACATTCACTAAGTAGAGGTTGAGCTAACATGGCTTTTACACCTCAAGTAACTTCACCTTCGTTTATTTTGAAAAAATAAACTAACATTGTATCTTGGTTGGTTTTGTTATTCAGTGGTGCAAGGCAGAGGTGCAGTAGAAAATAATAGACCCTTTATTCTAATGAATTTGTAACTTTAAGGGCCCTCTTCTGTTCTTATGGCACATGGCATACAGTTTGCATGCAGTTTAAATGGAAAAGGTGCATACAATTTTTATTGAAATTGTGCAATTGGTATCCGCTTTGAAGCATATCTCAAGTAGGTTGGCAGTGACAGAAGGATGGGATACATGCTCCAAGCAAGATAGACACCACACTAAAAGAGTAGAAATGTGCAGTGAAAAAAGCAAGTTACACACTACTTTTCCCAGTAAAACTAAGAATTATTTTAAAAGCCCACTGTACTTCATTTAAAATAGCCCTAGGATAGCTATGTACCCCTCACATGAAAAGTTGCTAGAATTTCTCGGTGCCTGACTTACACAAGATTCCTCTAGACTTCATTAAACAGTCGTGCAAACATTTGGAAATTCTTGAATGCATCACAATGTATATATGAAAATAGAAAAAGGAAACACAACTACAATATTTTTTTAAATAATCTTTTTTATTGTTTGCATAATGTAAAATTTTAATAAATAAACCTATTCTACACAAAGGCCCCAAGTCTATCCATTTACTTCCATAAAAATTAGTGTCTGATCAAGAATAAAAATTAATTACACTTATTTGGCCTTAGTATATGGCAGAGTTTGCATCCTCCTGTTTGGACTCCCCGTCTGTCTTGAGCGCCACCATCTAGGGCAAAGGATGGGAACCATACACACTCCATTGTCTATTTTCCATTTTTTTAAATGTTAAAAAAATATTTTCTAAATACTAATCTTTTAAATAGGATATTTAATGGATGACTGAACCAAGGTTCTCAGGTAGCAATCCACGCCCAGATGAGAACAAAAGGTGGATCCGTTGTCTGAGGGAGAAGGGGACTTTTATGGGAGCATTCTGAGGGGAGGAACCAAACAGGCCCTCAAGGGTTGACTCTGGAATCAAAACAGATCAAGTTTCCATACTGATTTTCTTTTTTCTCTTAGATTCCAATCAGATACTTTTTTCATCATATTTCTCTTGTAGTGGGTATCACTGACATTTGTCATATGGTATACATGTGCTCAAGTGCACTTGTTTTTCTTTTTTGCAGATCTACATACTGTAAATTAAGTCCTTTCCCTTATGATTTCCAGGAAGGCAAAGACAGCACATGTGGAAGATTCCTTCCCCATAGCCCCATCTATGTATATTTCACCAGGTTCTAAAGAAACATAGTAATTAAGTGCTGTTGGAATTAACCATTTTTCTCACATTTTTATATAAGGTAATAGATATGGCCATGGTTGAAATTCCTGTTGCTTACATGTCAGTCTAAATCTTATCCCTATGTCAGTATGTATCAGCATACTTGAAATCTAAAGGACAAGATATCATGCACGCTTTGTGTTTGGTGGTCCACACAATACATCAACTATTGGAAGGTAATGTACGGAAATACAGACTAGAAAAGAGACCTAAAAAATAATTGTATAACCATACCAAATTCTATTTTTGAGTTACATTTGTAAATCACTTAATAATTACATATAGTACTTTGAAATCAGAAAGATAATATGGTAGTCTGTGAAACTTGTGGTGCCTCTTCTCTACGGGCACCCAGGCTAGACTTCTGGAAGAACAATGGTCAGGCTCATATTGTAGGAGATTTTACAATTACTCCTGCATACATCTGCAGGAACACGAATGGTACATTATGTACCAGGTTTAATAAAGTCATTACACTTAATGCATTTACTGCATATACATATATATATATATATATATAAGGCTTTGGTCTTCTACTATTTTATTTCAGAATGTGGTTCTTAACTGTAGACAGGAACCATCAAAGATAATTTTTATCAATATTTGTGTGTTGTTTAAATGGTTTACATGTTGACCATTTAAAATAATCAACCCTGCCAATCTGTGATATATTACCCTGTAAATGCCCCAAAATTGAATGTTAAAATACAGCACTTAACTGGCTATCTCCTAGCATTTGCGTGCTGCTACTAGCCGCTGAAAATAATTGTGCCATTGTCCAACAAATGCACTTATTTTAGCCTTAATTATTTTTAAGAGAAAATGAACAGTTGAACATTTCATTTGGTTCATCTTAAGCTTGTGTTGCTGGTGTTTGCTAGAACAAAACAGTTAACTTTAATGGTACCAGAATGTGTACCAAATTTTTTAAGAAGTAAAAATAAATAAATTCCACAATCTAAATTTTAATTTTGTGCAATATTTTCATTTAACGCATGTGTATTTGAATAATTGTAAAATAAATGCATTTTTAATGTTCCGAGGTCTAGGTTAAGTTGTCTCCTTAACCCAACAACTTACATTCTATTGTGGTTGCATCCGTTTAATTAAGGACTTGTTTTAAAAGTCTTGTTTGACACTCCTTGTAATCTCTCTTGTTATCAGTGATCTTTGCTCAACTGAGCATGGCTCGTATAGTACAAGGGAAAATCTAAAGAGCACATCTTATGAATATAGCTGTAATAAATGACTTGTGCATATCATTGTACAGTAAGTGTCAACTGTGTGCCTAATTGTTCTAATGATATTCCCCTCCCCTCCTTTTGGCTAACAGAACGAACATGAATCAGAATGTCTTGGTCATTTTTATTGAACGGCAAAGGATTCTAAATTTTTATTTGGAGTTTGCATTATGCTCTGTCCAACAGAAAAGCTGAAAAAATATTACACTAATAAAGAATTAACAATATTTTTTGCTGAGTCTGTAATTGATTTGTTTCAAAATAACTTTCCCATCAGAAGATGAACGGTCAGGTCTGAAAACTCACTACTCGGTACCGTTTTGCCAAGTAGCATTAGGAGCTTGAATAATTTGTAAATATCTGCCAAAGAAATATTTTTGCTACAATTGCAAAAGGTAGTACTGAAGAAGTCTGCAGAGTAATTTCCATTGGTAAATACTGGGTACAGAATCAATTCTTAAAAAAAGTTCATGACACAGTTCCATTTTCGCACCTGCATTCTAAAAAGTTTGGAGCAATAAAGCCATGTGAGATACAAATAACTGCAGGCCTTCCTCAAACTATTCTACATGTTTGGACCTATATTAGAAAAAAAAAATCTTTACCCTTTGGCTTTTTCCCTTGGGTTTCTTTTCACAGCAGCTGAGTCTGCAATGGAAGTACAATTGTTACCTTTGAGAGAGAGAGAGATATTCCAGCTGTTCCTTATTCATCATAAAGATGTTCTGAGATCGTGAAGCCACAAAGATATCATTTGTTTTACCCTGTGGTAAACTATGTACTGTGCCTATTTTCAGCTAATTTACACTTTTGTTACAGAATATATGTACACTTCAGGGATTTCATTAGCTGGGAATTTATATGCATGTTTATTTCAGCTACCACTACTGATAGTAATACTTCACAGGAAGAATTTTAATATTTTAGGTTGCCCAAGAACTTGCCCAAGAATTATTTTCTTTTAAAAATATTCCTTCTGTTGAATCTACAAAATTATGCATCTGCTAGTTGCTACATGAAGGTATATGTTTGTATTTTATTTAGTTTTTACCCTCCAAGATACCACAGTATGTCTAATTTATATGGTCTTTGATCTCTGGCAAAGGGGAAAGGTAGCTGGTATTTATATTATGCACTCATCACTTATCTTGACTTTTCTAACTTCAAACTTCTTGCTGTATCCCTCAGAGAAAAGGAAATTAACTTACGTAATGAAAACAGTGTAAATCTACTTTTACTAAATATTTCAAAACCAATTAAGGTTTAATTTCATGAAATGTTCCATCTGTACTATTTTAGTTTTTCCTCCCCAATTCACTATATTTGGATACTTTAGTATTTAAGTATCTCCAATAACTATTTCTCTTGCAAAGCTTTTTTTAAAATTACTATGGTCCATTGAGGTAAGGAATTGTTCACATACGACAGTTTCATAGACTAATTTCTGTTAATCATTTTGATACCCTACTTCAGGAGGGGCTAACTGGAGTATTCACTTGACGTACTTTTAGGATTGGAATGGGGAACAATTTAATTCCAAAGAATAGTTTTAATTATACAATTAGATCCCTCTGTTTATGCAGAATTGTCAATTCAAAGCACTGAAAAAAATCGTGAGTCTGGCCCAAAATAAATAATGAAACTGGCTATAAAAACATGACTTAGGAAAAAAAAGAAGTGTATGTCTTGACAAGAGGGGGTATTGGCCTGCTGAATTTTTTTGAGCCTTTAGTGAGCACTGAAGTCATGTTTTCAAGCTTTTCATTGCAACCATGGGAGCTAGAGATTTACTTTGCTTAAAGGAAAGCAGAGATTCTCATAGAATTACCAGGGCTACAAGACAATACCCAAATATCATTAGATGCATAATATTGTGAGTTAGCAATGCTGTTACGTTCATTAAGGCCACACGTGCTCTCAACTGTGAATGACATCTTGTTTTGCTGTATCAAATGGCAGCGCATAGGAGAAAATGATTTTTTCTTGTTTGGCACCTAAAGGATGCAAACATAGGAAAACAAACTTCAGGCAAACCTTTTAGCTGGATGACTCTTTGGAAGAGTAGTGAACTGAAGTGGAATTTTTCTGAGTCTCAGGTGAAGGGGGTGGAGGTGTTTAGAATCTTTATAAAAGAGAATATTCTCCTAAGAGGCAGGAGCTTAAATAACAAAACATCAAAATCATAACAAAATATTCATTTATTTATTTAGCAAAGCATTGTTTGTCTACAAATCCACTTTCCCTCTCCCTTGCTCAGATTTCAGGTCTTATGCAGTCTTAAATCCACTATAGTCCTGCAAGGATAAACAAGGCCTTAGATTTCTAATGTAGAAACAATAGAAAAAACTTGGAAAAAATTAGGTGCTTCATTTTCTGTTGCCCTCCACCTTGTGTAGTCATTTACACAAGTGCAGGGTGGGTGTAGGATACTACTATTCTGACGTGTTTTACACCCATTTTACTCTGGTATACAGAGTGTAGAGCAACAGAGAATTGGGTCCCAGACACATACCACACACCAAAGTATTAAAAAAAAAAAAAAAAAACCACA